CATTTTTTGGGTTAGCACTAGAGACAACATGGACATTGGATACATGGTATGTGTTTTTACACGTGTGAAATACATCTTCCCCACATATTCATTCCTTCCAGTCACAAACATGTCTTTCCAAAAGCCTAGAAAACAGGGACATTTTCAAGGAATTAAAATTTAAAGTGATCTTTTAAAAACCCTAGACCACTAGGAATGGTAGGTGCCAACTTTTCCTGTCACATAAAATTTCTACCTCAGCTTCAGGCCTAACTCTTTATCCTCCTGCACTAAAAAGATGTCAAATATTATTTCCTAGAGTAGCATTTGACTTTTCATTATTTCTTAACCTGGTTCCAATGAAATAAAACCACTTATAAGGAACCCCAAACTGGAGAGATTTCAGACATATCAAAGGCTACTCTTTCCTAATTAATATAGAAAAGATATTTTCTTGAAAGGTAGCATGACAAATGTTTTAAACCTTAATAGTTTGTTTCCATTGAGTAAAGAAAACAATGAGTAGGCTAAAAATTAATCAGTTGCTAACTTCTGTGTTTTTCTTCGGACGTTTTTACAAGCAATGAATTAAAATCAATGTTTATTGCTATGCAATCCCAGTTGTGTCCTTCTTAAGCAAGTCTAAGTTCAACATTTCTGTGAAAAAGAGAACCTGTCCTCCCTCCCTTTGCTATGTTTTCACCCCCTGCATATGTAGGTGGGAGAGTGGGAGCTTGGGAATGCAAACTTGATCCAACATTGATCAGCCAGGCAGGAAACTGTTATTGTTCTTAGATACCAAACATAACTCCTTTCTGGTACAGAGAAGCTCAGCCATTCTGCACATAATACAGCTTTTGTGTTCAGCAATGCAATTAATAGGAAAAGGGAATGACAATGACTGCTTGAGATTTATTAAAGTTAAAGAGATCCTAATGAACAGCACACGGAATCCAGCCCACACTTATTTCAGAACTCGAACATTTGTTTCAAAAGCACTTCGACTTCTCGAACAAGTTATTACTTGTGCAGATTTACTCTACTGCTACAAGCACTTTACCTCTGAGCTGAACACACACGACACTGAAAAGCAGTCTGAAGAAAAACAGACTCACTTTTGTGAATATCTGGCTTTTAACTGAAGAGGCAATCCAATGTTTTAGCAGGTCATAAAACTAAATCCATTGAAGTATCCTCCTCATCCTTCCTCTAGACTTGTGGTCCCAGCTGAGAATCTCAAAAGCATTTTTTTTCTTAATTATTCATTTAATGAATTGAGACTCATAAATTAAGACTCCTAAAAAACTCTGTTTTAAAATTCACTTTTAGAATTCAGAACACAAAGGCACTAAAATGTTAGGGCCAATATTTTCAAATCTAACTTTTAAAAGTTACATCCAACCTAGACACCAAGTTACTCAGTGCCCCCTCGAGCATCTAACCTGAGGCAACATGTTACCCAATTATAGAATGTCATCACACAATACTTTGTAACAACACTATTCGGATTTCAAATGTGTGTGGTTTTCTCCTAAATCAGCAATCACATGCAATGTAGAAGAAAGTTACATCAAATCCCCCAAAATTATAACAATACTCTAAACCATGCCTGAAATTCAAGAGCTCTGTAACAAATTTGTGTTCTTACTAACATTTAATGATGTATCCTTTTATATAAGCAATTTTCATAAACTTTTGAATTATTTTACAAACAAAAATAAACAACTGTTGCATCTCATTCAGCAGTATCTTAACTGCAATTTACAGGAATGGCTAAATAAATTACAAGGCCATTATATGCCAATAACCTTCTTTAGATCAATGCAGATCTATTTAAATAATAACAGACTGTACAACTTTTTTGACAGTTTGTTACAAACAAAATTCTCTGTATCCTATGGTCTATCTAGAAAACTTTCAGGTGGGTAGTCTTTATCTAAAACATTTTTCAGAGTCAGCCAAGACTGACCAGCTCAGAACAAGTTTGTCTGTCTTATCTTCATGATTCATCTAACATTTATGCATCTACAGTACTATACATGTTGATTACACTTTTATATTTTCCCAAATCCTTTATTCTAAGAAAATGAGATGCAATGTTGTCAGTACAAGTGATAATTTCAGAAAAAACACTGCACTAATAATTCGTATTAAAAAACTTCCTTCTTATTGTGCTTGCTATCATTACAGAAGACATTAAACAATTGATATTGTTCACCTATGCTCATTTACATTTTTAAGGACTTAAGAAAGGTCTTTTAATCTTCCAATTTGCAAACTAGCTAATAGAAAAAAAATTACCAATTTTCTTGAGGGGAAGTGCCTATTTTTCAAAGTATGCTTTCCATGTATAAGTATATATGTTAAGGCAGTAGTTATGCTTTCTTCAGATTATTTCTCAAATAGAATTCAGCCATCAGTTGAATCAGTTATATTCTCTGCACTGGTATTAAAAACACACACAAAAATCTCCAGGTTCAGATAAAAAAAAAAATCAAGGATAAGTATCAACTAAGCATTTAATCAGCAGCTTGCTGTTCTTGGGACTAATACTTAACACTAATTTTGGAATTAATCTAAGAGATTCACTATTAAACTTTATTAAATACCAAAGAAAATTATATCTCTTCATAGACCCTTCAATTTTTTTCCCCAAATCACATGCTTGAATGAGATTTACATACTTAAGAGGTCATTCCCACTGCCAACGCCTACAGATTTACTGTATCTGGTGAGACCCCCCTGCAGGGCTGCACCCCGCTCTGGGGTCCCCAGCACAGGAAGGACACGGCGCTGTTGAGGTGAGTCCAGAGGAGGGCCACAAAGGTGACCAGAGGATGGAACACCTCTCCTATGAGGAAAGGCTGAGAGAACTGGGTTTTTTCAGCCTATAGAAGAAAAGGCTTCGGGGTGACCCAATTGTAGCCTGAAGGGAGTCTACAAGAAAGATGGAGAGAGACTGTTTACAAGAGCAAGTAATGACAAGGCAAGGAATGGTTTCAAACTGAAAGAGAGTAGCTTTGGATTAGATGTCAGGAGGAAGGTCTTTGCTGTGAGGGTGGGCAGGCCCTGGCTCGGGTTACCCCAAGAAGCTGTGGCTGCCCCTGGATCTCTGGAAGTGTCCAAGACTAGGTTGGATGGGCCTTGGAGCAACCCAGAATAGTGGGAGATGTCCCTGCCCATGGAAGGGGGGGCTGATGATCTTTAAGGTCCCTTTCAACCCAAACCATTCTATGATTCTGTGATCAAAAAGAGTTTTGAGGGAAGAGAGAGAGAAAGACAGAGAAGAGGTCAGCATGCTGATGCTCAGAAGTAGAATACTAAATCAGCACAATTCCTGTTTGTATTTTTTTTACAGAACAGCCAAACTACCAAGGAAATCTCTGTAGTCTTTAAAGAAAATTTACAACAACTTACAGATCTCCTGAGTGCGGAAATATTTTTGATGCATGCTTTCTTTACACAAGTAATAGATACTTGCAGGGTATAATGAAACTACTCACTATTCACTCTGAGCAACTTATGGTACCCAGGAAAACAGAGTTCAGTTTTCACATTAATCAAAACCATTTTCAATTCTTCAGTCTGCTCCTATCTTCCTTATTTGTGATTTTAGAGTTGATTGGTAGACACTAATAAAGCACATCTTCAAAAAGATATGTGTAAATAAAATGCCAGAAAACTCTTACATTTCAGCAGCCAGTTCAGACTCTTACAACTACAGCTGTGCAACATCAGTTTCTCCCACATACTTGAAGCAGCTGTTGGACAACCTATGCAGTTTTATTACCAGAACAAAACCTTGACCAAAATATAGCACAAAAATCAAGGTCCTTTTCTAAGAAATGACTGAGCATCAAGACACGTGATGATCCTTACTGTCCCTTCCTTTCCTCCCTTCTAATTACAGTTAATGTTGTTTTCAATAATTTTGCAGTAAAAAACAAACCCCACCTTGATTTAACAGCATCTTCAAATATTAGTCTTGGAACATTTTGCTCTCGGGATGAACCTTCTCTGTATGCCTTCTACAGCATACAGAGAACCATGGATATGACATCCCTAAAGCTGCAGGGAAGAGCCCACCCGCAGTGCCTGGGTACAGCTCAGCTATGGTGACCACTGCTTACTGTAATGAGCTCTTCAGCTGTTTTTGCAATTCTGCTTGCAAAGGTGCTTACTCCGTTAGGTTGCCCCTGAATTGGCACTTACAAAACAGGACTTAACATTCTAACTCTTTAGAGCTGTGTTTTCTTAAAAAAAGCTGATACAAAGTGGAAACAAAGTCAAGCACTAGGTAAGATAAATCACAAGCAACCTAGGGGATGCTCAGTTAGAAATCAGGGAAATCAGTTAGAAACTGAGTCCTGAGCACATGCTAAAAACTTACTTTGTTTTTAGGAAAATTTACACAGGAATATCTTTTGTCATCTCATCCCAGTTTTGATCCAAAATGAATAATCAGAGCCTTCACACAGCCCAGATACAACTAGGCATTTTCAGTTCACAGAATTTAAAATACAAATGTTAAAAGCTTTTGGTATTAAAAGCAGAAAACAATGCTAAGTCTCAATGTTGAAACACCAATAATAGAAGTTGCCCTTGCAGCAGATTCCTAAGCAAGTCACAACATTCACAAAATATCAAGTACAAATAATTTAACGTTCAGTTACTACAGTCTGTAATGCTTTCAAGGAATTCATATTCTGTGAACAATGTTCCTTACCTTTAGTAGATTCCACCACTACTCTGTAAAGCATACTTCCATGTGACTACAATATTAACTAATAGGATAAGTTTTGTAAGATTTGCCCATTGGCAGGTTTGGTGAGACAATGGTAGAAGCAAAAACCTGCAACTGATAAAAGCTAAACCCATATAAAGGTTTGGAAAGCAGTCGTCATCAAAACTGTTTGTTTAAAATCATACCTGTTATAAGTTCAGGTAATGATTTAAATAACATAATGTAAAGAGAAGAGGAAGACTCCAGAAGGAACTGTGAACTGGTATTTTATATTTACCTTTGGTATTCCAGAAGTGTCAAGCCAGTTCTGGAAGATACTTTCAACAGTTAACCCGGATCTTGGGTTAAAAAAAAAAAAAAAAGTGTTAGAAGACATGCACAAAAATACCATTTTTATGTGAAAAATAACCCTTTAGAAGCTAAGCAAACTGCCTAATTCCAAGTATTTGTAGCACTGCAGTGGTACTACATTCTCTGCTTTCTAATGACTGTTACCACCACTGGTCATACGAGCAAATCAGGTAGATCAGGTTTTCTGTGCTCAGAACTCAAATGATAAATTCAGAGCTTATGAGGACTGACAGGGAAAGTGTTAGCTGGTAAACCATGTTTATGAAATATGTAAAGTATGAAGAGGTCCTCTGCTTTTCACTGAGTGGTTTTTTGGTTTCTTTGCAGGAAAAAAAAGTCTCAGGCAAGCACATTTATACTGAAACATTCAAAACCAGTATTTTATTAAAGAAGCAGCCTAAACATAAAGATAAAATACTAAATTAAATTAAATACAAACTTCCTCAAACTTTGGGGTTTTAAAAGGCACCGATGGATATTAACCCTCAAAGTTACCAAATATCTAATAAATTGTAGTTTTGTCTTTTCTGCACTTTCTTTATATCACAGAGTAGTCTGGAGCTCCAACAAAAGGAAATCATCTCTCATGATAAAGCTCTGTGGGACTGAAATAGCTACATGTGTAAGTATTTGCAAATTCAGACATTATATTTCCCCTTTTACTTTTGCAGGCAACTTCTGTTGCATTTACTTCAACTCTGGTTGAAGACTTCCCAACTTGCAAGGAAGCTAAAAAAAAAAGAAATTTTAAAAAAAATTTAAAAAATGGCAGTGTCCATGCAGTATGCTGCCTGCCAGCACTGAAGGAAGGGAGCTGAAGAAGCCCTCAATGAATGAGAAGGGAGAACAGATGTGTGTGGTCCTGTGCATGGTAATGCCTGGGCAAGACTCATTCTAATACTTGCAGGGACCTTCACATGTGTAATGTAGAGTGATAACAAACAAAGCATTCATGGAAAGAGCAACCATTTCAAAGCTCTGAATCAGGAAGGCAAGCAAACCAATACAAATTTTTCTCTGAATCATGTGATTCAAATAATTGCAGCACTCAAGCAGAAATGTTTCTACATAATTGGGATTCTGAATTTTCAGGAAAATACTACTCTGTGTTTGTTTGAATATATAAATAAATTACTTACAGAGAACTTAACATATGTGATGCTTGTGTAGTGTTCCACATTCAAAGAAGTTATTAAACATCCAGGCTTGTTCCTTGATATTTATTCAAACTTATTAAATTTAGAGCATTTGACTGCTATATCCTTCAAAGTATGAATGCCTTCACCTTACCACTATGCTCTAAAAATTGGTGTCTAGTCTTAACTTAGTTAGCTGAGTCCCTTCCACAGGGAATAGAGAAAAGGAGAAGTATTTCCAAACAGTCAATCAATTTACCTTCCTCAGAATAAGATGACATTTGTGAGTTCTTTTTTCTGTCTGGTTACTAGAAAAACTGCAGGCAGGACTAGCTTAAAACTGGGCGTCGAAATTTCACACAGTTAAAGGTAGATCATGTGGATTGTACCACCTATTCCATCTCAAGTAGTATAAGCAGAATAACAATTTTTTGAAGTTGTTATCACATGAATCAAAACAGATACAGCTGAATGTTCTAATGCTGAAGCAGAACTAGGAGCTGGGGAAAATTCCCTTATCTGTGCATTTAGTGTCTTACCAAGGGATAAGCCTCATAATGACAGTTAGTTCTTTTTCCTCCCTCCCCAGAAGCTAAACTTATATTGAGATTTCCTCAGGATAAAAAAATCTCCGTGAAATAATCTACATTACGCTTGCTATGTAGAGCATTTATTTAATATACCCCTAATGTCAAAAACTGTCTTTTACAACACTGAGGGCAATCACATTGTTCTGACACCATACTAATCCAGGCAGTAAACCACTAGAAAGATACTCAGCCTTTCCTGAAACTCTGTCATTTTTCTCAAGGGCAAAGACAATAATGCCACTATTTCTCTTCCTGCATCACCCCCAGCTTTGAGCTAAACAGCTGTCATGTGACCACATGCAATCTTCTTTGTTTCTACTTGGACACACCTTTTTCTATTCCAACTTAGGACATTCTTGTTGGCACTTATCAAAAGAAACAACTTGGTTCAGCAGTTTAGAGGCATTCACTGTTTTTTTTAATATGTCAGTAATAAACAGACTATTGCGAAGACCTGCTCTGCATCTCTTTAAGAGTCAGGACTGAAGAACTGTGAAGATGTTGGAAAGGCTTCCACTACCTTGTTTGGCTTCAAAACAACCCCCAAAAATTTATCATAAACTATTGCTATTTCAAAACAAATATCACAGGAAAGGAAGGTCTGATATTTGTAGAGGCTGCAGTTGAGGAAGGGCACTTACCACCCACTTACGTTGCAGTTTAGCATCTGTAAGGGCTTAAATATGGTGTTTGTGTGAATTTCTGGGTGGCCTTCTGTTTCAGGTTCTGTACTGGACTGTGGGATCGGGGTTCATAGTTTAGGTTCTTCAACTGTTTTGTACTACAGTTCCCTACTGTAAAATGAGAGTGAATTTGCATCCATTATCTCCTCCCTTGTCTATTTGTTCAGATGACAAGCCAATCAGCCTAGGAATTATTTCCTGACACTTCATGCCCAGGTTTAACGCTTCAGAGCAAGGCCTGTAAAACACTATCATTAATGATAACTTGAAAACAAGCATTAAAGAAGATGCCTATATATCAAGTTTTCATTGCACAAGGCCCCAGGATACTCTACAAACTTCAGGATAAACCCATTTAATTCCTAAATCAAGGAGAAGAAAACATGCAAGTGTGAAACTTTTTTTGTATGTAAAGGAGGATAGAAAAGTGTGCCATATCCAACTGAAATATATAGCTGAGTAGTTTGAAATTGAAGCATTATTTTAGTAGCTAATTGACAATTTATGAATACATCCAAGGAATGTGGTTAGTGAGCCTGGGTTATTAACAGTACAAATAGTAGAGCTGTAACACAAGCCTTCCTTTGTCTGTCACATATTATTAAAACCATAGCTTATTAGTAGACTTGTTTATTTTACTGAATGAAGTGAAACAAAAACTACAAGCAGAAAACTCCAAAAACCCAAACGGACCTGTTCAAAAAAATCTGCAGTCATAAAGTAGCTGCACAAGCAGCAACTCTTCAGAGACTGAAAGATTTATCTGAGTAGTGAAACTCACCCTCTGTTACAGGGGTAAACACTGAGTGTTCGCACAGCTCACGTGTTGGGCAGATGTGGAGAGGGTGAGCTCGCAGCAAAGACTGTGGGTGTGAGCCCTGGGGAGAACAGAGCCACCAGGAGTTTTACAAAATCTAGTGCACTGTGGTGTACAGGCACACGTGAGGGGGTTTGTTGGGGTTTGTTTTAGTTTGTTCGGTTTTTTCAATGTAGTGAAGCTTCAAATTGTACCTGAGTAAGTAAAGTGTCTCAGTTACAGGTGGGAAGTGCTGCAGCCTTTCTGCAGAAAGGCCAAGATAGTGCGAGACTCCAGCCAGTGCTTGTAATATTTTAAAAGTCTTTCTAAACAGAGAAGGATAATGATGAATCTTTGTTGGTCCTCACCGTTAGACCTTCACACACACAAATAATCTGCTTAAAAGGCAAATTAAGAAATTATAAAGGAGCAGAAGCCACTGCTCAGCCTGTCTGGTGTCAGTATTCAGCTGCAGTCCAGAAACAGAAGGATCCTGCCTCACAGGATGGATTTCTACAGCTAGCATGCCATTATAATTGAATCAGAGCAGGAAGTGAAGTAGCCCTATTAACTAGGCATAAAAATCTCCTCCTCTGAACACAGAAGGCAGCAAAAATCAATGACTGCTCCCTAAAAAATTACATCTGTATCTTGGAACTACTCATCACTGGGAATGTACTCTAAAATCTCCTTTAAATAAAAACGAGAGGAATTAAGTACTGAAAGGTGAGAATCTTTTAGATGTAGTCTCTGTATCCAACAGTAGAAAGCTCATGTTCCATTACTTCAGCGTAATAATTACAGAAAATTTCCACGCTCTTGCATGACCATTTTCTGCCAATATTCATCCTGTTCTCATTACAAATATCTCCCATAAGCCAAACTCTACTGCTAACTACACTAGTTTCTCTCTGTTGCCACAGCTGAGGGGAGGATTTGGATTGATTATGTACTATACATCTCTCTTTTCTTTTCTTTTTTTTTTAATGATTAAGACCAGGCTCCATTACAAACTTCAGTTTATTAGAGTGCTTAATATTTGTCAAATTTGAAGCATTTAGTTTAAACTTTTAAAATGTACTTGATAGAATTGCATAAGTCTGGAAGGTTTTGTGTGCCTCAAAGAATTTTGTAGCTCTAGCATTGAAATGCACTTCATTCCTAGAACAAACTTTGTGTAAACTTTTTTGGCATGTGTATAGGCAGAAAATCGGATGCTTATCCAAATACCATTTTGCACTGGGTTTGGAGTTCAGAGAAATACAAGTAAAAAAAGGAAGGAAAATAAGAGGGTTTTTTAACAAATTAATGTATAATCATACCATTAAAAAATTCACTTTTTTATATACTCCATATAATACTCCTGCTTATATTTCAGCAGGAAACTATATTCAATTATATAAACAAAGCATCATCCTACAGTACATCACTGGAAAATGTAACACAACTCTAACTAAATTCAGTGTTACAAAACACATCTTCTCAATGAAAATTACTTTCTCTGTCCCTCAACTATTAGGAACAGAAGTGTTTAACTAAAAAACTCAATACGTTTGACTTCTATGAATTTCTTCCCTCCTTTTTTTCCTCCAAACCACTCACCCAGAGTTACATTTTTCAAGTAGGTTATTTTCAAAAACCATCACATGTAAAGCTCCATTACAAAAGAATCTGTATTTGTAGCACAGGTTATAGCAGCACAGGACAAACTTAACAGATAAGCAGGGACAGACTCAAAGTGCTGCTAAAGACTATCTGAGTCATCTTCAACTGGTCACAGTCACACATAGGAGGATTCTGAAGGACACGTCAGGCAATTAATGCTGGATTTCCATTTGTGTTTTCCATCTTTCCTCATTTGGTGCACTGTATAACAGGGAGGAGATGGTACCAGACTACTTCTTGAGAAAAATTCATTTTCCCTGACTTGCCAGATCCTCAGCAAGGTTCTGGCATGCTTGCTCTAGGGTGCCACTTGCCAAAAGCAGCTGGCAGGCAGATCGGAGGTTAATTTGGGTAGGCAGCTATGCCTGGAACTTCAGATTGCATAGGGAACACAAGACATCACTTCTGACCTAACATGCAAGTCAAAGGCACTGCTCAGGGAGAGCATGGCACAGCAACAACACAGCAAGTCTCCCAAGTTTTTGTGTGCATACATAGGGGGATTTTCAGAAACACACTCTTGAAAAAAACAAGCAGAACAATACTAAATGATATCCTACTATTTCTGGTTAGCATAGCTGATATTTTTTTTTAAATTTATTAAAAATCTGATTTTTACTTCTTTTTTTACCCCCTTTTTTTTTTTTTGGCTTTTCTAGCCCAGTTCTTACTTTTTTTGTTTAGGGATGTCTTCCAACAGCATGCAAAGGAAATCCTGGAAAATAAACAAAGCACCACAGTTAGTATGGTTATGAAGATGTAACCCTGTGTCTGCATTGCTAGTGAGCATATACTTTTTTTAAAGACTACAAATAAAAGAATGATAAGATATAAATTTATATATCAGCTATGGTGATATCTTGCTCAGTTTTTTACACAACATACATTATGTTTGTCAGTTTTCCAACCCACTCAAGGAAAACATGTCAATATTGAAAGAAAATGGACTTGAAAAGCCTGCTGACTATTTTAACACAATCCCACATTCCCACTTTTATCTACAACACACACACACACTATATTTAAAACTGTTAAAGGCTGCAGGTTCACATCCTCAAAGGTTAAGAAACACCAAAATTAGGGGTGTTTACATGTTCTTCAATGTGCTTATGTTATCAAACTGTCTTTGATTATATAACTGCATATGGCTTTTTCTTCCTTAACGCCATGCCTGACTAGAAGATCACACCTACTCCTCATTCCAGACAAAATCCACAACACTGCTGATAACCATGTCAAGTAATGAGTAAATTCATTTGTATGCTGTTTCATAAATCAATACATCCACTTTATTAATACTAATCTTCATGGAGACAAGTTTCATAGGCTATTAATGTTCCTCACTGCAGTGTATGAGTGCAGGCTGATTTCTGATTGAAAGCTGTTGCTCTTTAAGGCCTTGAAGAGTGTTTCCTAAAAGGCAATCTTTTATTTGGACACCTTGCTACAGCAACCAACAAAAGATGCTCTTTCTCTGAGTATGGTATTGTTAGGGAATCAAAGTAAGAGTGACTGCACAATTGAAACTACTCGTAGTACAGTCAAGCCTTCCTCCCAGATTTCAAGTGAGATTTAGGCTACATAGCAGGGGCTGCAAAATCGGCCTATGACAAAAAGTAAATTACACAGTGTTGGGCTCAGTGATGCTGCAGCAAGAATGGCATCACTGTGACAGGAGTCATTCTGTCCCAGCTACAGTGTATTGCTGACACAATGATCGAGTGTGAAATTCCCTTATTTCATGCTACCACTTGAAGTTCTGTGCCATTACTCTGTATGTAAACAGAACTACTGTACCCCTCCATTTGTGGAAGTTTTGCTGGAGGTACTGAGTAAGCTTACATGCAAATAAAGACAATGAAAAGCTCGTGATTAGAGTTGTTTGAAAAGTGTGTGAAAAGTAAAACTGAAGTGGACCTCCTTCACAGTATTTGCTGTGTCTGTACATATTAATGCAGCTAGATTCTCTGATTGGATTGCATCAATCACATAGACTACTTAAAGATAGCTCTGGTATTAGAAATGAGTTTATATTCTGCATATTACACTATGAAATTAAACATCTTCATGATTAAAGTTGTCTTCATTTTTCCAAATATCTAATAAGAATAATGTAGTAACCATCATTCAACACACTTTCTTAAAATTAGGATTAATTTGTTCTATCTTACTTTAACTGCTTCTATTTTGATGCTCCAAAACAGAGCAGGAAAACAAATTACCACTTACCTCATGTTAGCATGGCTTTTAACATTTGCCTGTTGTCAAGTCTGCATGACACATCTCATTATAGGTCTAACTCTGCAATTGCTTATAATTTTGCCAAACTTTAACCATCTGGATTGAAATTTTATCCTCAAGGTATTTATTCTTCCTCCTCAGATGAAACAATTTAGAAGTGCCCAAGAGAAAGTCCAGAGGGAAATGCAGGGTTGTAAGCTTTGATGCCATGTCCTGGTGACCTTACACTTTGAAACAAAGACTTGTGGATGACCAGGGTAACCACAAATAAATTCTGGATCAGATCATAAAACAAATTATAGTTTATTCTTTGTCCGTGTTGCAAGTAATTCAGTGAAGGCAGAAAGAAAATATGAACTAGAAGTCATGTGCCACCACAGTGCTGGCTTATACTGACATGATTAAATAATCTCAGTACTCCTGTTGTTCTTCCCTGGAGAGACCCAGAGGCTAGAAAACAACTTTTCCCTATATAAAGAAAAGGTTATTCTGCAGTTTCTGGAATTTTATTGACATCTGGCCAAACTGAAAAGGCCTGTGAAAAATGAGTTCACACATGTTCACTAAGGATTTGCTAGCCCCTCATAATTAAATTCCTTGATGACTCTTGTCTGCTCTCACTATAGTCCTGACTGACGCCAACAATTTTAATCACAACTACAACTTTGGGCTGCTGCTGGGTAGATCAAATATGGATAAGACTGTGAATGTGAGATCAAGGAGAACTTCTCTTTGCACTGTTAATGGCTGTACACATGTTGATATCAAATAAAGAACACTCAATATTAAAAGACAAATTATATCTTCATATGAAAACCTCAAATCTAGATATTTCAAATACCCTACAACCAACAGATACTTTAGTTTAAATTCTCTGACTGAAATATAAATGAGATGCATAAAAGCAGTGGAGATTTCATGACTAAAAGTGATACATCTAAATGGACAGTCATGTGGCAACAAATAAACTCAGATTGCACTTGCATCCACTTTCTTGCAGAAATTATCCATCAAAGTTAAACTACCCCTGTCAAATATGCAGTCTGTAAATTACATAACTAAATGGTAAATGTTCATTTATCCCCTCTGGGTGGAACAATAAATAATGAGCACCATTTGTAGGTCCCTGTTTATTTGGAATTCCCTCCCCATTCATCTTCCTGGGTTTTATTTAGCAAAATCAACAATCTTTTTAAATCCTTCTGTTGGGTTTTTGGTGACAAGCCCAGAATGCACCTCCAAAGATGATAACTTCCTACCAAGAGCAAGCTTGACTCCCCACCTATATGTTCTATTATCAGGCAGCAATCACTGGCCAGACAGCCTAGAAGTTTAAGCCCCAGGGATGGAGCCACTGACCAGCTGCAGTCAAAAGTTGGATTTGTTGCCTATTATAACAGACAGAACTACATGAAAATTAAAGTCTGTAAACAATTCAATTCCCAAGATATTCCTATTTCAGTATGAAACAGGACAACTGCTTTAAGTGTGTTAGGACTATCAGCAACTTGCACTTCTTCCTTTTTAATTACAACAAATAAGACTCCACTCATTATTTCACAACTTCATTCAAAGCAATTAGTAAGTGGATTCTCTCATAGAAAGAGACCTGGAAGATTTTTTTTAAATCCTTCTCAAGGATTCAAGAGTGGCTTTACTCACCTATTGCTGACTCAATTAAAATAACCTACTATTAAAATCTTATTGAGCATGCAAACTAAATGAAGGAAAAAGGCAAACTGATTAACGTTTCACATCTGAAGTAATTTCCTTGCACCTGCAGCTCCCATCTAGGAAAATTACTACAAACATAACTGAAAACAAGACTAGTATTCATAACATGGGCAATTTTTCAATGTTTTTACTTTTCCTTATGCCTAGAATTCCTAAAGCTGGAAACTTTTACCATTATTTCGGACAAGGTGAAAATACAGCACTATGATACTTAAACTTACCATTTTCACCTCCATTTATTTTAAATCTTATATTCATGTAAACACTGACAGCATGTTTGTTCAAGAAGAAACTTGAACAAGAAACTTTGTACTAACTTGATTTTATTGCTTCTGCATTTGCAATTCCTGCTGTGATTCTTTATCTACCTATACCAGACACTAAAATAAACACAATCTTTAAGACTAGCAGTATAATTTGCTGAGACATTTTGCAGCATTCAAACAATCTACAACTCATCTCACATCAACCACGAGCAACAAGCTAACATCTTCTCATCAAAATATGAGCACCTTCATTATCTCCAGATCACAATACTCAGATGCTTTTATTGTTAGCAGTTTCATGATTTCTGTAATTTTCACAATTTTTCCATCTGTGTAATAGTGAAGCATCATTCTTATGATTTTGGACACCACAATGTAGACAAGACTCATACAGTCACTGGCATTTCCCACACTGTGCCAAACTTAACTGCTCAGGGTGCCAATAACACAGCACAGGAAAGAGCTGCTTTAGTGTTCACTCCCCTAGCACCCTAAATATCCTCCACAGGGCAAAGCTGCTGTGTTGGAGCTACCATGCCCAACTTTTGGGTGACACGACATATGAAAGAATCCACAGGCCTGTGAGCTATTTGTAAGATACATGGGCATACGTGTCTCCCTTAGTGACATTCAAAACAGCAAGCACACAGGCAAGGAATCACTGTGGCTGGAAGAAACAGCAAGTGTTAGACTCCAGTCCTGCAAAATCAGAGGCCTTTACTCTGTGTTGCAAGGAGACATTTATCATCATCCACAATATCCTCAAAGAATTAAACCAAAACTCCATAAAAGACAGATCAGCAAAGAAACTGGTTTCAGAAATTCACTCATACCCCTTCCCCTTTCTCTTCCTTTGCCTCTTATCACACTGCTCTTCTAGCAATGCTAAATATTTGTTGTGCCATAGGTTTTGTTCCAGGATTGTTTTTAACCATGATGAGTTCAGGGTCGGGGTTCAGACACCCCCAGGAATGGTCGTTGTCACAGCATTACTTGCTATGGCACTAGCTGGATTCATCACCACTGACAGGATTCCTAGAAATTGGGTTCATATTTCCTAAATCAAAACAAAACAAAACTAGAGCCAACAGTTACAGGAATTTTGCAGAAAGGCCTAGGGCGAGGTAAATTTCTACCCATTCGGATTTGTCCCCATAAGAAGGACACCAAAATTACAAGCACTGAATGAAGCAGCATGCAGAGAGGAAGAAAATCAAGTCAGAAATACGATTTCTTCTCTTGGAGAAACAGAGAATAATCAGGGAAAAGACTGACTGACCACAAGGAAAACCCATTAGCTAAAAGATTATGGGAGACAATTCCAGTATGATAAAATTACCCTATCTTTAATGTGAGCATCCATGTTCAATGCAGCAAGTTAAAAATAATCACCCATTGTTTATATTACCTATACGAACAAGATAGTAACAAAGTGTCTGATTTATGTATAACTGTGGAAAAAATGTTCTGCCCTCTATCTAGCAGGTAGTAATTTCACCTGTATTGCCAAATGACAACTGCCTCTCTCTGTACACCACAACCAGAAGTGAAGATTTACGTAGTCAATCCAAAAGTCTGAGTCTTTTTTTTTTTTTTTCAGAAGGCGAAGCACAACGCCAAGCACAGTACCTGAGAAAGGACGAGCTGCCCGTGGAACTTACGGACGAATTTTCTCAAAGACGCAAGGTACGAGGCCTCTCCTACCGTCCTTGCCAGAGACCGCAACAGAAAGTAACCCTGTAACACATTAAGGCAGAAACAAATAGGAAACTGTGAATTTGCTGATGTCCACGAGACAGAAATCTTTATCGCATTTGTAAAGCAATTTCAATAAAAATCAACTGACAACACTCACCTTCAAATAGTGAACCTGCATGAAGATTTTTTCTGCTTTAAGACCATATTTGACAACAGATGCTCCAGATTCACTCAATTCTCCTGTGCTCTCCTTGTTGGGCCTAAAACAGAAACACACTAATTAAGTTTTGGATAAGTAAGTAGAGAATGAACTGACACATTACACATTCTAATAGCTGAAAGCATCAAAATGGCATAGGAACTTCAGACACCTGTGACCAGTTCAGTCTTCTTCTTTAGACTGAATATATAATCTGACTTAGTCAAACAAATGAATTTCCTACTACGAAATCCATCACCAGGGTGCTGTACTCTTTTCACAGCCAGCATGACATCAGGTTCCATGTCATTCTCCAGTGCAGACAAATTATGAACAAAGAGAAACAAACAAGCCATTTTAAGGGGAAGGGAAGAGGAAGGGGACAATAGTGAAGTCATTATGTTCAACTAGACATTTCTCTTTATGTACCTGATCAGTGGCCTAATACCTTACATGACTGTACTTGCAAGAATAACCTCTTTCATCTGCATGCAATACACTGATGAAGAAAGTGTTCTGTTTTTCATTTTGCCATTTGGGGTTGGAAGAAAAGGAGCTGAAGTTTTAAAAGAGGAAGCCTTTCACACAGGTGTGGGATTTACAGACAACAACGTCTAGAACAAACTTGATTCTTTACAGCCTGATTTTAAAATGTAATGCAGCATCTGGTATGCCACAAATCTGCAGCAGTAAAGTGTGGAGGACTCCAGGTTCTTAAGAGTACAGAGTAAAACTAAAGAAAAGCCATATAAACATTTTTTCTTAATTTGTAAGAAGTGCCTTTGCTGGTATAGTACTGAAGAGCTCTCTAGCTTTTTTCTTCCCTTCAGAAAATATCCCAGTTAACAGTAGTCTAAGAACAGCTGTCTGTTTTAGGAGTTTAACCCTGTGACTGAAACAACCTCTCCAATTCTAAATGTGGATTTTGAAGTGGCCAGTCTTGGACACCAGACATTTTTCCCTTTCTTTATACAGAATAGGGAAAATATAGCCATAGCAGTGCAGGATTCTCCAAACCTTATCAGTCATGCACTTTACAGGAGCTAATCCTTGTGATCAAATTCTTTCATATCTATGTCTCCTTGGAGGAAAACATTCTTCCTTTTTTATATCTGTGTAACAGTTCCTTATTCCAGTTTTGTCCAGAGTGCTAAGTTGTTTGGGTTTTCGTTTTCACCCTTGATGCATCAGAGGTTTCTGGATTTTTTAACTTTTGTAGATCTTAATGTAGCTGTATTATATCCCTTACCCTGTAGCATAATGTTTACACATACCCAGCCCTATTACCCCATTCCATACTGTTATGGTTTTGCTGGTTCTTAAAAACTAAGCAGGAATTTTTTCCCTTCCCCCTGCCCACATGGTGGAGGACTGTTAAGTGGGCAGTTAAGCGGCACAAGAGAAGCTGCCTTTTAGTTAATGGCCCTCAGAATCTCATCCCCTGGGAAATGGGGGGGTGCGGGGAGGAGTTCTGGCTGGCTGCTGAAGCTGGAACAAGGCCAGAGGAGAGTTTGGAGTTGCCAGCTGTGGATCCTGATTGGATTTTCATCAGAGAGGAACTGTTTTGGGAGGTTTTTTTCCCCTTCCCCGTTCCCGTTTGTTTTGTTCTTAGCAGTGGGTCTTGTGCACATCAAAGGGAGAAGGAAAACTACACTGCACTGTTAGGCCAGCAGAACAGAGTGAGGTTTTTTTCCCATTGGGGAGGACTTTTTTTTTGTTGTTTCTCTCCCTCCTCTCTCTCCCCTTTCCCAGTGTGTGTGGGGGGAGGGATACCCATTTTCGGTTTCTTCAACACACCCCAGAGGGTGTTACCCCCACGTGGCAACAACCAGTGATCCAACAGTGCCCCCTGTTGACTGTGGTTAGAATTGCAGCAAAGGGCACAAACTGAACTGTTTACTTTTTTCTTTGCTTGTTTATTGGTTTGTTTTGAAGGGGATTATTTGTGGTAAGTATTGTTTGGTTGTTTTACTTTTCTTTCGTTGTTTCTGCCAATCCACATATATCTTTTAATAAAGAGCTGTTATTTTTCCTTTTTCCACAATTTTTTCCCCCCCTCAATCAGAGCCTCTTAATTTCAGGTTTACAATTGCTTAGAGGGAGGAGTTTGGGTCTTTCTCATAGCTCATCCTCAGCAAAACACCTGTATCTCATTTAAAATGAGACACATATCAATCCCTCTACATTCCATTACTGTGTTTAGTCTTCTTTTCAAAGTAGAATTGTAGAAAAACCCCCTAAGGCTGGACCAGAAGATATCACACAGACACAGTGACCTTCCAGCCCAGAACTTTGGAGGAGCTCTAAGGACTGTATGTGCTGTGAAGAAGATGAAGATCAGGAAGAAGGGGTCCCAAAGACTCCAAACCCAATTCCCAAGGGTGTGTTGGGGGCAGAACAGAGCAGAACCAGGGGTGGACAGATCTAGGATTGGATAGACCTTATCATAAACCATAGAACCCCTGTCTCAGTATTCCCCTGGCCTGTAGGCTGATTAAAGGACCTGCTCTCTTATCTTATGCACTAAATTGGCCTGGAGTCTTTTTCTCCAAGTTCTCTTAAGGCAACATACTTTAGGTGCTATAATTAGGGCCTGTGCACATGAAATCCACCACACAAGAGTAAAATTTTGCAAAAATATAAGTGTTCAAAATCAAATAGCAAAAAAAGAGGCACATGCAGTTTTACACTGTCTTCCTAACAGTCCTCTTCCATGATATAGTTCATGAACACCTTTCCAGCAAAATCTTCTCTCAACATTGAAAGGAGACCAATAACTGATTTCTTATTCTATCAGTTTCCAGTTCTTTTAGACTATGTAAACATTGCAGACCCACTGTAGGAGAGCAGAAATCCAGCTTCTTCCCTTCTGGATCAGTCTCCTGGAAGGAAGGCCTGCTGGCATTGCATATGTGGCTTTTCATTGTTTTCTGCATACATAAAAAGCCAAAACTGCTTTATTTCACTCACAATAAATAGCCCAGTCTACTGACTTTTAAAAATGGAGTCTGAGCACAAGCGACAGGTCTACACTAAAATGAAATATCTTCCATAATCACACTTATTCTAAATTAGGCTATACTTCTTTCTCTGTCTTACTTTGTGCCTGTATATATTCTAGGATTTGACTAGAAATGAGTATTGCATGTGGATGATGGTACTGAAGAATCCCATACAGAAAACATATATTCATCCTTCTGCAAAGGCTGTATATATACTCTTGATAATGTCTGTAAAAGAGTGTAACTATTCAGAAAGTTACCCTGTTCTCTGCTGTCAGTTCTTCAGCAAGTACTTTAAAGTAATGTCACAGGACACTGAAGGTACAGAGACTGGAAGTTTGTTACACTGACGTACAAAAGCTGGCATTTAACCTAATAGACAAAGCTAGGCATAGTGCTAAAGGCAAGTGGTTTCAAAGCATCCGTTATCTGGCACATCTTAGACACCGGCAATTTTCTGAAGGAAGTGGAAGATGCTGCTTTGTTTGCTGGGCAGGGGAATATATCATACAAAGTAGAATGTCGTTGGTAATTAAGTGCTCTGTTGCACCAAGTAGTCATGAAAACCTATGCAAAGATTATGAGAGACCTTCTGAAAGGCAGATGTCCTACCAGACAGAATAAGACTCTTCAAACACCTACAGAGCAGTAAGACAGCATTGCTTCAGGATAGAAATGGACTTGACACAGGCAGAACACAGAACCCAATTTAGAGTCAGATATCAACATTGGCTAGCCTTAATGAATAATCACAAGTTGAAGTTCAGTTGTAAGGGCCAGGATGTGAAATAAATGTCAGCACCAGCTTTATTCCACAGAGTACAATGGGACTTCTCTAGTCTGCTTTGCTTTCCTAACATGAGAGGCTGAACGAGAGTGCTGGTGTTCATGCTTGCCAGCAGAACGAGTGCCAGGACATATTTCACGGTGTTTTTATCCCTCCAGATTTGCTTCAAAATGTGTGAGAAGATACATGATTCTGTTGGAAAGTTTTATCCCATATGAGTACTACCGTGCCATAAACTTTTTCCCTACTAAGATTTGCTGGTGCTGCCTTTCAGAGTTGCTGCCTGTTAAAAAGACACTCACTTATTCCTTTCTGACCTCTTTTGTCACAGGTAGTTTATGACATGCTACTACAACATAATACCAAATTCCATAATAGGAAGAAACATCAGACTGGTAATCAGTTTGCTGAGTGGCTTTCACCTAGTCTAAACAAGTATTGCTTTGCTGGATCAAAAGCTAATAGGATCAGCTGACAAGTCTTGGGCAGAATTTTCCAGTTGTCAGAAGAAAGCACAGAAAATCATATGATTGTCCAACAGGGAACAAAAAAGCCATTAAGAATAAGCTTATGCTCAGGAAGAGTGGGTTGGCTGACTTTTTTTTCCTGACATGACTGGTAAGAAGTAACAAACAGTTATCATTTACTGTTAATATCCGGTATAAGAACACAAGTTTGAACCAGCCCAAGCCTCGGTACAGGCTCAAAACCCAGCTCGGCTTCAGTCCTGTCCCTTCAGGGCAAGGACTGAAAGTTTCTCTCTTATATACCAGTTTTGAAAAGCATAAGATATACTTTCAGAAGGATAAAGAAAAGAAAAAAAAACCCAAGTAAATATGCAAAGAGAGAACCTAGCCAAGTCCACACTACAAAAATAGTAGATAGTGTTTATATGTGACTGAAACCAGTATAAAGTCCTTAAATACAAGAAATTAGAGACATTAAAGAAGAAGAGATGGCCAGAATCACAAGCTGGCATCATGTGCCTCTCCTCAAGTGTTTATTAGAGCCACATTTTTTCAAATTTCCCACTCTTTTGCATTAGCATTGAGAATACCACTATGCATAAGGTAAGCAGGATTTTTCCTCAGAGACTTATGCCTACTAACTGTGGAATTCAATAGAAAGCTTAAGTTCCAATTTCAGAAGAAATCAATTGTTCCTGAGTTTCAATCTACAGAGGATTTTGACTCTTAGAAAAATTATTTTAAACCTTTACACAACATAACATTTTATTAAAAATAACAGCTACATAGTTAACACAAAAGATAACAAATGTGATTCCATACTGTTGAAAATGGAAAACATGCATCCAGATAAGCCTCATATCACAAGAACGAATATTAAAAAAAAAAATTATATAAACCAAATCAAAACCTCAGCATCTGTCAAGCAGTAGCTATGCAGCAGCTCTGTGACAGCTAGTGATAGACCTTGCTTTTGTATTTACACATCATCAAATTGCATAGTTACAAATTCACTGACTCTGCCTACACATAGGATACACAATTCATCAATAAACATAAAGTAAACCAGATCAATGAAAGGCTACAGTTACAAAGTTGGTGATATGATATGCTTTCAGATTACATGGAGAAGAATTTCTATGTTGGTGAACAGTCCCTAGTGCCCAAAAGGCTTTTAAGTCCTACTGGGTAAGCACAAAAAAAAAAAAAAAAAGGGAAGACCTTAAATGAATGAAATGGAAACAGTCTTTTAAAAACATTTAGAAGCTGATTATGTAGAAGATGGGTATCAATTTGTTCTTCCACTTGGTGAAAGAAAAGAAGAAATCTACACAGTTTGAAAAGAACGGTATTTCAGCTGTGCGTTAGAAAGCAATTTTTAACTGTTAACACTAAGCTTACCTGTCTTATTGAGACACTAAGACAGCTTGGCTCTCCTATGAAAACTTTTTTGTTGGAGCTTTCTAAGAACATGTCAGTAAAAACCCACTTAGGATGGTCTGTGTGTATGGCCTGTATTTCAGAGTAGGAAAATGGTCTCCGTAATCTCCTGAAATTTGCTCCTGTAATTCCATGATTTGGTCAGTGTTGGACCAACCTGAACTAGGACTAGTTATGTTGTTTTTCTTGGTCAAAGACTGTGGGGAGACAAGCAGGACAGACTCTGTGGATCTTGAGTTAGGCAGACACTCAAGATCAAAGACGATGGCAACTTTCCAAGACACGAAGCAGAACAGCCCAGATTATCAATCACTGAGAAAGCAAGAATGTCTTTAGCTACCTAAAAAGTAGCCCTGAGCTTAGCATCTGGTACCTAAAGACCAGAATGTATTTTCAATATCATTATTCGTACTTTCTAAAGAGAAAGTAGATTGATATAGTTCATTGTGCTTTTTCCTTGTTTTTTAAAGCTTCATTCAGCTTGGCAGTTAGATACCACGCTGCTGTATGTGCTTGTGTTCAGCCACAGAAAACGAATCTGTTACAGCTTCTAACAGAGAACTTCGTTCAGGAAATGGCTTTTTTTCCCCCTAAATAGTGGCTCTTGTAAACTGTTTAGAGAGATTTCATATCAAACTAAATCCCATGGTTTCTGAAAGCTTTCTAAAACAAAGGGAGAAGCAATTGCATTACAGTCAGGACGAATAACCTAGTCAATTTAATTTGCATTTTATTTTTTCATTAGAAGGAAATAAGGAAATGCAGTGGATCTAATCAGTTGATTTGGATGTATATCTTTTGAAGGGAGAAAATGTGGAAAACAGGAGAGAGAGCACATGCAAGGCTATGCTGTCATATTGTTACCTTAAAACTTGTAGCTCTTCTTCAGAGTTTTGTACCTCGTCCCTGAGGCGGCACCAGCGAAGCAAAGCTTTCAGCTCCTGTTGCCCTTTTACTTCATCATGTGGGAGCTGCTCAGTAAACAAATAAACACAGATCACTGAATGCTGTTGCCCAACAGACAATAACAACTTTCAGAACAAAAAACTTGTTTCTCTTTAATATTTAGAAGATGTATGAAATGTACCAACGTCAATGATAAAAAAAAAGGGGAAAAAAAAAAGAGCCAAAAAATAACAGTTGTTGCTATGAGAGTTAATAGCAGCATGAAGAAAAACAAAAGCCTCACTGTGCACATCAAATCAATAGACTGTTAAATAGTTCTGACTGAGGAGAGAGATGAGCATGTCATTTTCCCTTTAGTGACTGGCAATAGATGAACTGCCTATAAACAGTATACCTGGCGTAGCAGATTTTATTGCATCTTTACCCAGCTTGAAAGCTAAGAGCTGCATTGGGTCCTGACTTCATTCCTCTGTCCTACTATTCCTACTACATTTGTGAAAGCTCCCTGTGGTATTTCCCCCATTTATGTAATATTGGCAGAGATTCATACTTATGAAATAAATGCCAGTTGTCAGCTGACAAATAAATACTTATTTATGTTTCTCTATTACAAGAATAGATGTGAGATGGAGGAAAGCAAAAGCAGCTAATATTACCCTGAATTACGTTCAGTCACAACTGAAATGACTGTCATGCACTATAGAACGTATTCATAATTCTAAAATTGTATGACTGAATAGCTTCAAAATTACTCAGTAATGTTTAAAAGGTATCCCTTGTATATTAACAAGGGAACTAATCACACTGTTTTGTTGCTTACTCCTTTCCATTTAGCTACAAGGAGGGTGTCTACCACAATCAAAATTCTTTCAAGTGACTCACAAAAGGAAAGAATTGATATGAACAGCTCACAGCACTGTAGTGATGCTCAGTGTAAGGGCATAAATGAGTTGTGGAACCAAAATGGAAAGGTCACATATTTGGACAACCTCTCTTTCTTGTTCCAGAAATATGGTAAGTGTCAAGGAGTTCTGTTTTGTTTGGTGCTATAAGTATGGCTGATACTTAATAAAATGGAGGTTTGGAAGAGTGCATTATGTCAGCTCCCAGTTCAGCCTGCTCTTCCACAGATGAGGTCTGCAGACTTCAGGGGTAGAACCTGGCACAGGCTCAGGCAGAAATGACTGACACACAAAATGCTTGAAGTAGTAGAGGTACTACAAAAGTAAGAATTGCATCAGAAAAACACTTTACAAGCTGAGAGACAACTTATGAGTTTTTCACCTTAAGGCAGTCAGTGATTTCTAAGACTCTGACATGAGAGTAACCCTTGCTGGGAACATAAGCAAAAAAAAAAAAAAGGGTAAGTTCCCTATTTAAAATCATCTTCCATTTTGCTTTGAGGTAAACTTCTTGGGCATCCATTTGAAACTTTCATTAAGTACCTGGAATATTACAATATGCAGTAAGACTCTGCTGATTATTCCAGTTTCAGGTACACAATATAAATGGAAAAAAATGCAGAGCCATTGTTTGATAGCTGAATTTTAATAGCTTAGTAGTACATTCATAGAAAGGTAATAATTGACAAACAGACATTTCCATTCTCATTAGCACTGACCTCTACCACTGTAAAGATTTGTGTTCCATGCCATGTATATAATTTTGATTTCCACATTAATTCAGTTTTGGAACCATGTATCATCACCTTACCTGTTGTGCCCTGGCCCAAAATATATCTTCTAAAAAAGTGGCAAACCCTTCACTTATCCACTCCTCAGTCCAATCACGAGCGCCAATGGCCAGTCCAAACCAAGCATGAGCAATTTCATGGCACAGACGCGTTCCACAGAGATGGCTCCCTCCTGACAGAACACTCTGGGACAGGAAGATGATGTGTGGGCTGCACAAAATGAGTGACAGAATACATTATTGACCTGTTACAACATGCATTGCATGGCCATCCAAATAAGGGAACCAAAGAATGGTCTGGATTGGAAGGGACCTTAAAGATCATTTTGTTAAAACCCCCGGCTGTGGACAGGGACACCTTTCACTATATCAGGTTGCTCAGAGCCCCATCCAGCCTGGCCTTGAGCAGGCCAAGTGATGGGGCATCCACCGCTTCTCTAGAAAACTGCTCCAGTGCCTCACTATCCTCACAGGGAAGCATTTTTTCTTAATATGTGATCTCAATCTATCCTCCTCCAGTTTAAAAGCGTTCCCCCTTGTCCTGTCACTACATGCTCATGTAACAAGTCCCTCTCCAGCTTTCTTGTAGGCTCCCTTCAGGTAGCCTACTAATAATTAGCCTGTAAGCTAATTATTAGTATATGCATGCTAGGTCATGACTAATAGTTTATAACTCAAGCGTTTTTAGGAATTAAGTCGTAATTTATTGTTAGTTGGCAGAGAATCAAACTAAAATTCCACCAAGCAGTTGTATTGTATTCAACTGCCAAACAGCTATTACCTGTAAGAAGTAACTTAAACCAGAGTTACTTTCAAACTACAGGACTGATTTATTTCAATAGAAACATTCATCATAGAGAGATGAGCAGGTGTGAATACAGGCAACAAGTATTTATCAGCTCAGTGATCAAAGACAGAAATAAATAAAGCAGAAACATTTACTAAAGACAACAAATCACTATCAGTATGTTACTAAAAGTAACAAGAGTAATGTAGAGTAAAACACACGTGCTTGTTAAAACTTACAACAACCTAAGAAGATGCCATCTCTTGATAACGGCTGATCATTTCTGCAAATGCAGAGGAAGAAGAACTTATTTTACCACAACCACAAAAGTGAGAAGAAGTGAATATCTGCTTTTCACAACATGGGGGGAACAATCCAATCTGTATCTACTCTGCTTTGGACTCAAATACTATAAAAAGAAATTGGAGGAAAACTGTTATGAATTATCACTCTGCTACAGAAAACACACTGAACTGCAAGTTACTGCAGTTCCATGTTCTACTGTAAGGCAGTTTCTGCTATGCTTACAGACATTACAGACCTTAACTTCCCAAAAGCTATAACATTTCTGAAACTAACTACATCTAGGAAATAAAAGTAGCAGAATTAAGTCCTCCAACTAACGTGCAAGAGGTTATTAGTGCACCGTGTCATAGATGGAGTGGCAAGGGCACAAACCAAGACAACCATCTGCAGAGTACTCCTGCACTAACCCACAGTGTCCATAATCTGCATTTCAACTCTCTTCTCTCTTCCAGTCAGTTAGAAAGGAAATAAAGCACAGTGGTAATACCTTCAAGACCACAGGTCTTTAAAACTTAGTTTTAAAGCATGGGAGGGGAGTGCATGGCCTTAAGGCACTTCCAAGAGTCAAATATTATTCATCAGCATTCCAGAGAGCTTCCCCACCCGCCCTACCCTTCCGTTGGCAATGCTGTAACACCCACGTTTTTCCTGCAGCCAGTTGAACGTCTGGAACTGAGACCATAATAGATGATATGCACTCATACTCAATAACCATCTCCTTATAAAAATATAGTAGTTACCCAGCCAAGCAAGTTAATCCATTTCAATCAGATGGCATTGTAAGAAACAATGTAAGAAATTAAGGAACTAAACTGAGGAACCAAGTAACACAGAACAAAGTAAGAAAAAACAGTGGCTCTCCAAATCTTGACCAAAACCAATTCTGATTCAGACAAGGAAGGGAAGGAGAGAGAGATGAGGGGAAAGTGTGAACACAGAAGCTGCAGAATACTATTAATTTTTTATTATAAAGTCCCTGATGAGAAGAACAGCCACAACTTTGAGGGCATTACTTCAGTCAGTATTAAGTAAATGACCCCTAACTGTGGCATGTGTACATGCTACAGAGAAAAACTGCAGAAACAGATCAAGTACATAACACTACAGGCATACTGCTGGAACATTTCAGCCATTTGGTTAAGGAAGACAAAAGTAACTGCATGCCTTATAAAGAGGCTCACAGAACAGTGTACATTTTAAGTCTACAGTAGGTAAATATATAATAAAATTAAAGATTGTATTTTCTGCTTTTTCCAATCACTTAAAAACCACAAATGCTACAATTTTGGACAATACTCTCCTTTATAGAAGGATTACAAATCATTTCAGGGAGAAAAATATATAGGAGTTAAATTTTGGTCATAGAATATGAGTACAGCTTCTTACAAGGCCAAAAATTAGTTTATGTGCTGCAGTAGAGTTTAATTTTAAACTCTGAGTACAGCCAGCAACTTCCTTTCCAGAGAACAACCTAAATGATTCCTTTTATTTTGTTTGCCCTTATAAACCAGTTCTATCTCCAATTCAGAGCAGTGCAAAGTTCCCATATACCTTAAGAGTAGTTTTATCAGACTGAATGCTCTCTGGAACATGTCCAGGACCTATTAGTTTGGGGAAAAGTTTCACTCCATGTATTTCTTTAAACACAGATTCTCTATTTTCAGTGCATGTTGAACTTCAGAAACTCTGCTCTACCTCTACTGATGCCAACCAAACCTACATTTCTAACACCATCTAGGATGTGCAGTGTTCACAAAATCATAAAATGGCTTGTATTGGGAAGGACGCTTAAGATCACACAGTTCCAACCCCTTTGCCAGGGGCAGGAACACCTTTGACTAGACCAGGTTTCTCAGAGCCCCATCCAACCTGGCCTTAAAGACTCACAGGAATCTACAACTTCTCTAGGAATCCCATTCCAGTGCCTCACCACCCTCACAGGAAGGAGGTTGTGCCTAATATCTAACATAAACCTATTCTCTTTCAGTCTGAAGCCATTTCCCCTTGACCCGTCCTTACATGGCCTTGTAGAAAGTCCCTCTAGATCTTTCTTGTAGCTCTTTTCAGGTACTGGAAGGCACCAACCAGGCCATGCCAAAAGCTTCTCTTTTCCAGGCTGAACAATCCCAATTCTCTCAGCCTTTCCTCACAGGGGAAGTGCTTTATCCCTCTAAATCTTGGTGACCCTCCTCTGGACTCACTTGAACAGGTCCATGTCCTTTCTGAGTTGGGGGAATGTTGTGAATGTTGTTAATTGCACAACATAGCAATGTTGTTCCTAAAACAATAATTCAAGAAGGTGTCTCAGTGAAAAATAAGTTAATTGGAATGGTAATTAAATTGCAAGACCTTTTTTTTTTTTTTTTTTGCAACTTCTTTCTTTTTAACCTTGGTCTTCCTACCATCTGTTGGATTTACTAGGAACAAATTATAAGGCTTGATATCCATTTCTTTGATTTTAGTTGAAAAGGAAAGAAATCCATTCATCCATTAGGAATGGACAAAGGTTCACCCCTGAAATTACATCAAATCTGACGAGGTCTGTGTGGCTTAAAAATGCCTCTAGCAAGTCTGGTCCAAGTTTCTAAAGCAGGCCAGAACAGGCTAGCTGGATGCGGTAAGGAAGATGCAAAACCTCTCCTAGTTAACAAAAAAACAACCACCCCACCAGTCCTTCCCAGGAAGCTGGACAAGTTCCCAATGGCTCTCACAGAAAAAGAAGTTAATGACTTGTTTTCAACAAGTATACACTTGGTTACACTTCCACAGCAAAAGAGTATTATTCTGATGAGAATCACACGCACATCACTCAGATATTTGCATCACTGGACTGGAAGAAGCAGCAAGTTCCCCCTCCCAGTTGAAGTGCAGTTAAGGGAAATCTTGACACCATAACTGTGGCACAAATACATATAAAGGAAAAACTAAGCCCTGAAGGAAAGAAATTGTGGGTGTGAAAGGCCAAAGAGTCCTGATGTTCCAATCATTCAAACTCACCCATGCAGATATTCTTAAGATATATAAGATATTCTCAACAGATGGTCTCTTCAGCAAATAAAAGGTTTCCAATGAGTCCTAAAGCTCTGAACAGCAACCTGACCTGTCCAGAGGCCAAATCTCTGACAGTAATTTTTCAAAACTTTTTCTCTAGACTCCTGAATTAGAGGCAGGTGCTGCTTTGCACACAGTGTGTAACAGGGGGCTATCTTTGGCTGCTCACACACTGTCAGATGAGACACATAGCCAACATGTATGTGCAAGAACTAAAGTACACACTTAAGCTGGGAACGTGAAACTCATTTCTAACAGACTTGTTCCATTCCTTTTGAAGTAGAAGTCTTTCCTTCTTAATGCACACAGATTTGTATGCGCATTTTGTTATGTACTTATTGAAATAACAGAGCCAAAATGATTGTCAGTTAGGAAATTATGCTTCTGGAGTCAAAAGTAGCACCAAAATTCACTATTACAGATAGCAGTTACATATTTCAAACAAACAAACAAACAAAAGTTTTTCCAGTACTCCACAAATTGCTTATCTTTTCCTATCTAGGAAAAAAGTAGTCAGATAGTAAATGGGTAAAACAGCTATTGTACTTCTAGAAAATCCCTTTTAAACATGTAGAAGGGGAAATATCTCTAAAATATTTTCTTAGGAACACATTAAAATTAGGATATACATCTCAAGATTATTGGAATTTGAGAAAGTTAGAAAACTAAATGACAGCTCTTTACAAATACTTGGTGCAAACTCTCACCACTTGCCTTTAACCTACATTGTTCCTGTGATACAAAGAACACTCTTACCATAATGTCTGCAGTATCTACATCAAGCTTTGAATGTCAGTTTGCTTTACCTTTGAGGACACTTGTGCTATTGGAATGCAGACACAGGAACATGTAACATCCACTTTCCTACTTCTCTAATCTCCAGCCGTCTAGTGTGTGTGCCAGTCCAGTACTGAGAGAACCACAAACTCAAGAGACAAGAACCTGGTACTTAAAATACTCTGAGCACTGTTACAGGCTTGATGTGCTTCAAAAAATAAACAAAGAATTTGATGCACTCACAGCTAATGTGAGATCACCCCAAAGGAAGACCACGAAACCCAACTCAT